CCTTGAACTGTTCAGTGTGTGTATGATTTTTCTTTCCTTGCGATCCATCAGAAATTATCACAACATACCTGAATAGCCAGGTATGGTAAACCAATGTTTGAAGCCTTTCAGTTTTTTTCTCCCTATTTGTGCTCTGGGAGCAGGTTGATAATAATTTAAAATTTATTTTTATATGTGCTAAAAAAACAGGTTCATTTTATCCCCCCCCCAATCTTTCCAATCTGGCTTTATTTTGTAGATCTTGTGCCTGGCAATTATTTTTAGAATAATGCTGTTTTGCCCACTTCCAATTACTCTCCTCAACTCCCACATTCACCCACATTCTCTGTTAAGAATGTGATTTGATTTGTGTTGAGCCTTCCTTCTTCCTTCTGGAGAACTGAATTATATAATCATCAAATCTTCCCTCTGCTGTAATTCTACATGCCAACTGCTGCCAATTAAGGAATATTTACTTAGTTGTTCTGATCCTATCTCCATGTTGATGAATCAGGTGTTTTGGTTTTTTTTGAGGGGGTGGGGAATAGAAAGAAGGGTCTTGAAAAGCAGCCGCTATAATCTGAATGAAGTCCTATGGAAGGTATAGTTGCTTGAATTTGCTTCAAATTAAGCATGCTTTTAGTAGGAGATCCAGGACTAGATTCTTTTTCCAAATGTTTGGATGGCTATGTGGTATTGGGCAGATACAATGCCATGGTTAGCGCATAGCTAATGGAAATGACTTGTACGGTCACCATGATTAATCCTCGAGTTAGAACCATTCATTTAGTGACTGGTCAAAGTTAGAACAGCACTGAAAAAAGTAACTTATGATCGCACTTACGACTTGCAGCATCCCAATGGTCGCGTCGTTAAAATTTGGACGCTTGGCAACTGGCATGTATTTATGACAGTTGTAGGGTGTTCCGGAGTCAAATGATTTACCTTTTGTGACCTTCTGACACGCAAAGTCAATGGGGGAAGCCAGATTCACTTAACAGTCATGTTACTAACTTAACAACTGAAGTGATTCACTTAACAACTGTGGCAAAAAGGTCATAAAATGGAGAAAACTCACTTAACAACTGTCTTACTTAGCAATGGAAATTTTGGGCTCAATTGTGATCGCACGTTGAGGACTACCTATATCTGCAGAGGGGTAACATGAGTTCAGAGTTATTATGTCTTAATGGGTTCTAATGAGCATGTCCATGCACATGTACATAAGTGTTGTGATTCCTCACCAGCCAGTGGACCCGGCAGCTGAGTCTGAGGAATCAGAGGAGGAGGAGGGGCCTGGAGTGACATCAGAGTCAGAGGAAGGCTCTGAGGAGCTCCAAGACTTACAGTCTGACGAGGAGCCTAGCCCCTCTACTCGCGCTCAGGCTGAGATATAGCTGTGCTGGGAGTCTGAGTTGGACAGTGATGAATCACAGCTGGGAGATATCCAGGATGCACGAAAACTCCGACAAGGAGAGTAGGACAGAGGAATGCAATGGGGCAGCTCCAAAGGCAAAGGAGAAGGCATTAGGAAGCCACGCCTTGGCTGCATAATAAAAGGGAAGATGTGGGAGGTGCTGGTTGCCAAAAGCAACCATTCGTGTTGAAGATCGAGTTTCTGTGAACTGTGTTTGTTCGCCTTGGACATTGACTCAGGTCTGTGAACAATAAAAGGGGATTGTTTTTTTCCTGCAGTTCCAGCTTACTTGTTGGAAGAGGGGTTTCTCCTTGTGAGCTTAACAAGGACTTGTGTAGGCTGGGACAGAACAGTATGCTTCCTGCTTTGCATAAAATCTGCTTGTCCAATATGGGCTGGCCAAGAGGACAAGCTGTCAGTAGCCTCCACCTTGGGATCTTAGTAGAACAGGAATCTCAAAATAGGTTTCCCTTTTTATATATTGTTAGAAGAAGATTTTACATAAGATTTAAAAAACTACATAATTAAAGGTAGAAAAAAGAGACATGAAAGAATAAAAGAAAAAGTGCAAGATAACAAAAGGAAAAGAAAGATAGCTCAAGAGGCCACTACCCACCTTTGCAGTACTTACAAACATGACAGTTACCATCTCCACCCTCCCAACTTCTTCCCACAAACAGCCCTTTTTAATTAGTAAATCCCAGCGTCACCAATTCATTTTTGTCCATTTTCAGCAAAAAGTACATAAGTTTCCTGACTTTGTTCCTTCCTTGGTCAAACAAGTCAATCTAGTCATTTCTGCAAGCTCTGTCATCTTTCTCCATTGGTATATCTTCCATCTTTGTGTATATAATAGACTCACTGTAGTTCTTAAGATTTTTCAACTGCAGTCCTCTCATTTTGCAATAGCTTTCTTCCCTTAGAATTCCTTTCTTATTGAGAGTCAGCAAGGCAGCTAAAACAATTCTTTATCACAAAGCATAAATTGTTAAGTAATTTGGAATGTATCACTCCATTGAAACCTAATTTTTAATGTTGATTTTATTACCGGTTGATGCTGACTTACGTTTTTATGATAGTGGCATCTTTTTATATATTGGCCACTTTTCAGGATTGTAGTGTTTAATTGATTTTATGAAGTTGTGAGCCCCCTCAAATCAGTAGTGGAGGCAGAATATGAATAATTACACAGAAATAAATATGGAGTTTGTGGGAATGGAAGGAACAAATTTAAAGTTTCAATTGTCTAAAGCCTATCATGTTTCTTAAATATTAAAAAAACAGAAGAATGATTAGTTTCATTTTTAAAAACGTTTATTTTTTAATAAGAAATAAACTTCTGCAGAGTATAAAATCTCAGTATCTGCTCTTAAAGTTGTGGGTCCTTGTGTTCTGTGGTCTTAGGTGTATTTCTTGGAAAACATGCAAGTGATTTGGCTTGTCACCTTGTAAGAAGTTGGTCAAAGTATTGTTATCTACTGAGTTATCTGCTATTGGAGGGTAGGCCATTGTGATCACATTTGCAGCTGATTAACTTCTTGGAATTGACTAGTGCTTTCAAAATCGCCTTTTTTTTAAAAAAAAAGTCTAGATTGTGACATTTGGGAAAAGGAGGCTAACTATACTTGGGTTCCAGTGACTAACAAATAAATCTGGAGTTATGGAAAATGAATTACTTCATATGAATTGCTATACTGAAAACTGCATTAGGGTATTTTCAGTACACTTGTTAATTGTGTAGAGTACTGCAAGTAATAGAATAACTTGTGTGATCAGGTTGGTATATGTAAAACTTACTGTTAGTGTGGAAACATATAGCAAAACCTAATGTGTTTTTCTGATCTAACCAGTGGTGACAAATCATTTTGGTGACTAAAATGAATCATTTGGATGTGTTTCAAGGGGCTCATTTTAGAATCTTTTTATTGTGGCTTTTAGAAAGTGCCTACTTGTTTTTCCTTTTACATTAGACATTTGACCCCATTGACACTAAATCACTCTCTGGTCATCTTAGTCCTGGCTTCCATAAAAGGGAAAAAGAATAAACTTTTTACAGGATTTTCAACTCTTGCCTGGAAATTCTTATTTCATTTCTATCCAGAATATGCCCGCTTTTGTTCCTTTTCCTATTGATTTGCTTAACTATTGGATTTAAAGAATTATAGTTAGATAATGATATCTATATTTATTTATTTTATTTATATCCCACCTTTATTATTTTTATAAACAACACAATGCGGTGAACATTTCTAATGCTACCTCCTCCTCTTGTTTTCCCCACAACAACAACCCTGTGAGGTGTGTTGGGCTGAGAAAAAATGACTGGCTCAAAGTCATTCAGCTGGCTTTCATGGCTAAAGTGGGATTAAAATTCATGGTCTCATGGTTTCTAGCCTCGTGCCTTAACCACTAGACTAAACTGGCTCTATATTATGGATGTAATTACAGCGCTAGTGCCATGATGCTACATGAAATAAAGTATTAAAGTCAACAGCATTAAACTTTTATTCAAAGCGTAAGATATGGAGGGCAAATATTATTGTGTGTGAAGCTAAATATAGAGAACTGAACCATCAAGTTCTCTCTGTGAAAATATTCTTTCTAAAACAAATTGTAGGAGGAGTGGCAGAACCTGGGGGTGGAGTCAAAAGAGGAATCTGCCAAGAGTCTCTGTGTAGCCACAAATGGACCAAATCAAACCCCTCTTGAATCCTGTTGAAAAGTTTTGTGTGAGTTGAGTAGAGTAATGTCAGGAGCAGAAGAGTAACTGTGAAGTTCCAATTGAACTGATTTATTACTAATCATGCCTATGCATAAGAATCCGCTCAACTAACTGTTAACACTCTCTTGGCATTAGATAAGAGTCAGTTGAATTCAAGAGGGATTGCACTTGGTCCACCTGTGGCTACATAGAGTATCTAGGCTGATTCCTCTTTCGACTCCGCCCCTGGTTCTGCTACTCATTCTCCTTCATAAATGCAGGGAATTTGCAACATTAGGACGCCCAATAGTTTTTAGTGGTGGTAAGATGTCCTGATGTTATTTTACCTTAAAGATAATATAGTGTCTTGGTATTCCCAAGATATTTGCTCCTATCCTAAGTTATTCAGTCTTGCTTCTTAGATGCCCTTTAGAGACACCACTGGGAGATGCCTGAGACATCTAGACTCATTATTAAGTTGGTATTCTTTTCCTGCTTACTAATTAGAGAGTTATGGCTTGAACTATATTCTAATATCCAGTTCCTTTGGGAACAGGATGAAGGGTTCTCAGAGTACATAGAAAGGGCACACAAATATATCCATGGATATAAACGTAGAGGAGATGGTAATACATGCTGCAGAGGTTTAGTAATGAATGTTTGGATGTTGCAAATGTAGTATATATAACATCCTTGGGAAGACTATGGCTCTGCTGGAAGACAAAACGTGAATAAAACTCCAATAATTCTACACAGAATTCTATCATTCTGTACAGAATGATGAAACTTAAAAGTTGGATGGAGGGAACATCAGTGTTGTCTTAGCTACTGCATATGATTTAAATTTGTTTTTAAATTATATGAGCTAAAACTATCCTTTTTATCTCCAACAAAAATTATCAGAATTTGCGAGAGTCTTGCTGGGAAAAGGCAGGGCACTTCTTTGATCTTCCGGATTTCTTATCATGGAAAGCAACAGGTGCCACAGCAAGGTATGCAAAATATTATGGCATGTTTTGTTTTTCCTCATCTCTTTTCCTGAGCCAGCTTTTTCTTTCATTTATTTTGACTGTGCGCAATGTACATGTACCTGCATATGATTTAAATTACATCTTGAACCTATCTTGCTGTTGTGCATTCCTGAACAAAATAGTTCCTGTGAGCATTTTCAATTCTTAATTAATTGTTGTACCTATTGGTTCCCTAATTCCACATTCCCATTTCTGGAATTTGACCAATTCAGTACCAGTTTCTTGAAGACAACAGCTAGGGCATTATATTCCACAGGGGGATAAAACATCTCTTTCCAATTTAAGTAAAAATAAATCCAGATTTTGCACCCCCTTTTAGAACTAGAGGGAGAACATCCAAGGGTTTGAGAAAGCCAAATGCATGTTTTAATTTTTTTTCTTTGGAGAGTTTGCATTACAGGCTCTTAATTCTTAAAATAAAACTTGACACATTTTTTTAGGAGCAAGATTCTACATTTAGGAGCATACATTTAAAATGTATGTACATATATTGATCTGTAAACGTTGATGTTTGTTCTGTATCTCTTATATTATGTAAATAAGAGAAACAAAATCTGGAATGAAGATAATTTCATTAAATTTGCTGTGGCCAAAATAGGCAGTCATTGATAAAACTGAGCATTAATATTGCCAGCCTAGTGTTAATAAATTGGGGATGTAATCTCAAGGCTAACCTGAGCAGCAGATATTGAACATTCTGGCCTTAATTTTGATGGAGAAAAAGATTTAATAGTAGCCATGAGTTTGAGTTTCACATCTCTCATGAGACCACTTTTCCCGGACTGAAGCAAGCAAGGCCTTGCATGCAATCTAATTTTGAAATATTCCACCCTTTGAAGAATTTCTGCCCACCCTCTTGGAAGATCCAGGCCTGGACATTGTTATATTCTGTAATTCAACCCTATTCTGTCTCCAGCTGGTTTCTTCCTAGGAGCTTTGGGGAAAGAACCTATTTCTGATCATCTATATTTTTATACTGTTTGTGTATTCTTTAGGTGTGTGTGGAGTGGGGAGAGGGGTAAAATAGAGCAGGAATTGTAAAAGGAGATGCCGAGATAATTAACTTTTATGTAAACTGGTTTTTGAAAGAGGAAGGCTTAGGGTGCTTTGCACAGCAGAGAGGGTTGAGAGAGGGCTGCATTCTTTCCCTCTGTTTCGCTGTGACTGTATCACAATGTGGTCACTGCCCCCCTGCCTGATTAATCTTTTTAAGCGGCTGGGAAATGAGTAGTCAGATTCAATGGTAGGAATTTGTGCTCTCCCCCTTGTGATACTTCGATGTTGCTCTGTGGTAGAGACAAAGGTGATTAAAACCAAATGGTAGCTTTCTTTAAGGCACTGTAAGTTTTCATTTCTGGTTGCAGAACATATGGTTTATTTATTTGTTTGCTTGCTTGTTTGTTTAATAAATTTATGTAGTTGCCCAGCTTATAGCATTAAAAACCCACAGCATGAAGCCCTTCAAACCCTCCTCCCTCCCCCATCACCACCACCATGATTCATGAACTTATTGGCAATTTCACAGCAGTGTGAACCTGGAATAAGCAGGATGGTTCCAGTTGATTTTCTGGTTTATAACTTAATATCATCAAATGGAACTGGTGCATTTTATACAATGATTTTCTGGGTATTGGTTCATCTCAACATTGCAATGTCTTGATGGACTCTTAAGCGACTCGTGCGAAAACTCCACTCATTTGTTTTCGTCTTCTCATTTGCATTGAGTCGACCCTATTCATTACTCAAATTTTGCAGCAGTAAAGCTCTTGTCCTGGTCTTTGTCTTCTAATTCCTCTGGTCTCAAGGGGATTTTTTAAATTATTATTTTAGTATTTTAGTATTCTCCATTCTTCAAGTGGTAGCCAATGCTATCCGTGATGATATCAATAACTATCTCCTAATGCAGTTTGCTCCTTTCATCTATCTTGGAGACTTTTTCTCTTCCAATTGTCCATTTTCATTTCCATTTTCCATTTGTCTCTCACCTCACAGTGGCATAATTCTTCACCTGGAGTTGACAATCTTCAGATTGATAGCTTGGAGAGGATGTTTTTCAGGTGCTTCTTTCAACACAATGGCTCAGATTCTATGTATGGCATGCAAACCTGCTGTGCAAGCAGCTGTTCTATAAATTGGCTGAGATTTGTCTCGTAGTTTTCATTGAAAAATTTTCCCTTGTTATATTTGGAATTTTTGTCTTTATAATCAAAGAAACTTGCCTTTCCCCCCCTTCAAATAGCAACAAATCTGGGCAAATGTTTTTTCCTTCCTCATTCATATGCAGTTTGGGAAAAAGACTTTTGAATGTTTCCCCTTCAAGAACATCAAATTTGTATTGAATTTGCTTCTAGTTTTCTCTGAGATGATGGGCAAACTTTTATATATATATATCTTGAGTTTGGTGCACCCTGTCGGCCCAAATATGGGAGAATCCAAATTTTGAAAAACACACACACACACACACACACACACACACATATATATATGGTTTTAACTATAACAATCTCCAGTGCCTAGTGTACAGCGTGTTGTCTTGGTTTACAGGTATGTTTTAATAAAAGAAAAAAAGACAATAATAATCAATTAACAATCAGTAATGATTAAGTTTGATAATTCCATAATTAGTATATTAATTAATAATATATTTCTTTGATCCTCCCTTCTCCAGTTTATATTCTCCTTCTTCAACCTTAAACAAAATGAAATTCTTAATATTTTAGTTATATAAATGGTTAAATATAAACACATTTTTTTATGTTTGTACAAATAATAATAATCTCTATGTATACTTTTTGAAACTGTAGCTATCTCCTCACTTCACTCTTTTATTTGGAAGTTAACATTCTTCGCTGTCATTCTGTCAACATGATATCCCAATGAAATTTGCACCCTGGAATAGAATGAGCTATAAATTTCATTTCATAGGGATAAGATGATCTTGTGACCAGCTATAACCTTTCTTCCCAAAGTTTTCGCTGAAACATATCTGCCTTAGCAGCAGGTGTTGCCTGCAATTTTTCTAAAGCTCACAATGCCACTGGAGCATTCTTTTGATCTGTGTGATAAGTAGAGGACTATTGTGTTCCCTTTGACCAAACTGCTCAAGTTTTATAAAGGTCCTCATTATCTCCTGTTCTCTGACTCTTGGTCAGTGTAGATAGACGTAGAAAAGCTTTTTAACCATACACAGAGTCGGTTTATCATCCCAAACTCAACAGCTTTTCACAAAATGGTAAGTCTATACACAAAAGAAATGTTATTTTGAGTTAAACAGACGTTTTAAGATTAAGTTTCTGAATCTTACATACAAACTGTAAAACAGTTACTTATTTTTTTATATATAACTTAAATGCAATATTTTATTTTACTGCCACTTGTTAAAGAATCATACCACTAATTCAGGGTTCCCAACTCTGACTGCTTTGAGACACATGGGCTTCTGGGAATTGAAGTCCATTTGTTTTAAAGTGGCCAAGGTTGGGGAACCCTGCATGAACCTACAAATCATCATTTTGGTACACTGTCCTTTAGCATACATAAAACAGGAAGATCTTGAGACACTTTCTAAGTTATTTTCTGATTTTTTCTGTTTCTATCTATTTTTTTTCCTTTGCAGTGTTTAATTCCTATATAATCAGCTGAAGTAGCACTTCAGTGTTCTATCTCAGGCGAAGCATCTGGACCGGGTGCCCCGTAAGATCTAATATCTGCAATCTGAAACAATTTATAAATTTGTTTTTTTAAAAAAAAATGTGCTTCAGTTCTTGACTGATAAACATACGTTCTTTGCACTTTAGAAAACCAAATGAACTAACTCAGCACTGAAAAGAGGAGATGATGGAGATGGAGGCAGAAATTGTAGTGGGTATATGGCTGGCTGGCTGCCACAGTGACAAAGAATTCTGAGCCAACCATGAAGTCATGCCGGATTTAAGGAGTTTCACTGATCCAAAGCACGGTGTCTTTAATTTTACAAAGTAAAGTCGTCTTACCTAGACTATTAAACAAAGACCTTTCAATGACACGGGGAGGGAATAGTGCTTATAAATTTTACTTTGAAAACATGAAATATAGTGATATGAGAGAATTCACTTTTTCTCACTTTCTATGACTAACTTCCCCAGCCTTGAGCATAACATTGGCACTCTGCATTTCCTGCTGTTCTAGGGGTATGTGAAGGCTTGGTAGGAAATTTGAGAAATGTATGTACTTTTCTATTTCAGGAAAATGAAGTCAGGAATTGAATGTGTGTGTTGTTGGCTGTGAGGCTGTGATTTTACCCTGTGTGGCTTGGCTCCTTTATTTTTAATAGTGAGTAAAAAAATGCCAAGTTCTTATTCAACAGAATGCCGACATTCTCTTCTCCATTTCCTAAAGGAACTCATGTATTAATCTTTTATAAATTGAGAGATAGGTTCTGGTTGAAAGCAGTACAGAAGAATAAAAGCAGTGGAGAATAAATAGAAGATTAAACTTTCAGTTTATTACTGACAGCATAGGGCCTGCTATTAAATGCAGATTCTAAGGTCAGATGATTATTATTTATCCCATTTTTTTATGGATGAAAAACTTTACAATTTGCTGACATTTTTTTTGCCTTCTTTGTCTCCTTTATTTTATTTTGAGAGAGAGAGAGAGGATTGACGACTGTCTCCAAAACCTCTGTATATGGAACCTAACATTATCAGTAGCCATCCTAAAGATTTCAATGATCAATGATTCTAAACCAGGGGTGTCAAACTCAATTTCATTGAGGGCCGCATCAGCATTGTGATTACCCTCAGGGGGCCGGGTGGGTGTGGCCAGGGTGGGTGTGGCCTACTGGACGGGTGTGGATGGAGTGGGTGTGGCCTACTGAGTGGGTGTGGCCAGCTCTACATCGTTCGTGTCAAGGGTGCCTGTGGGGGCCTGGGCAGGAATGGGATAGATCTGAGGGTCTCTGGCAGAAGGGGGTGGGACCA